ATCATCATCATGAAGGAGCCAGGGTTGAGATGGAGTTGTGAATGTCTTGAGTGTTTATAGCTGACTGAATACCGGGAGGTGTAGAGAGGTGAGGAGCGAAGGTTACATGTGTGGTGTGCTTCATGGAGGAAATGGATCCTGTGTACACACACATCTAGAGAATTAACATCGGCATTTGAGTCGGTGAAATCGTCTTCCTTATATTTCGAATTTATTTTAACAACATTGTATAATTTGTGGCCTAAAAGATTTGATTTGATTTGATTCGATTTGATTTGCTTTTAAAAATTCCAATGAACCTGAAACACATTAAGTGTGCAGTGTAAACAGACCCAATTAACTTGATAGGTGAATTAACAAGCAAAAATATTAGTAAAACTATTTGCTTTGTTACAACATCAAATGTATTGCTATAATGTCGTCTTCCTAATACACAGTTTTCGGATCCTCACTGAAGGTTTGGGTCCCACTTTCCATGTTTTTTTTTTTGCAAATACAACATTGCGCAAAATCAAATTCCACAAAAAAGTAGAGATTATGTTTTTTGGTCAACTATCTTTTAAAGAAACACCCCTGCACCCTATTCGTACACCCCATATTTCAACAGATTCAACTGACCTCTAAACTCTGATTCACTTTTTAAACCTTTTTCTGATCAAGGATGAAAGACTTTTCGTTATTTTTCTACAGAAGCGCGTGTAATTCTGATTTCAAATTTTTTATAATCGCGTTTCTTATACATAGAATATTCCAAGGTTATATATAACCTTGGAATATTCTAGATTTTCCAAGAATGAATATGACGTCATACGCGTTGAGTTAACCCATTAGGATAGTGTATCACTCCAATAATATGGCTTTAATTATTCATCATTTAAGAGATATTTCGACATAGATCTCTATCCTGGATGATCAGTCAAAACTCAAATATTTTTGAATGGATGGCCTGCACACGGGCAGTCGTGGTACATTTGAATTTCCGAGCCGGGTCAACCTTTCCGGTCCCAGTTTGTACAGTACCTGGCTCTATGGACAGGACTAGCCGGTGCAACAAGGTTGACGCGGTCAGACTTTATGCTTCATATCTTTTACTAAAGTGTGCACTGGAAATAATGCATACAGTCCTTTTAAAATGAAAAAGTTTCTTACCAAATCAACCCTAACTATGTATTCAGTTCTTTCTCGTTTTTTCTTAATTTTCTTGTTTACATGGGGTTCCTCGTCCTTCATCACAAACAATCATTAACTCCAGATCCACGAACAGAAACAGAAAGAAAACTTTCCGTTTGAAATTTGAAATTGTGGATTTAGACAGCTGAGACAAAGAAGGAAGTCGACAATGTTAATCATGTTTGACGTGTTGTTACTTAAATAAAGATTTTTTAGTTATTGTTGCAAATGCAACTCTTCAAAAGACGGGGTAATATAATAATCAAGTAAATGAAAAAATATTCTGACATTGTTATTATTATCATATGGTTTTTATTGTTATTTATTTTTAAACATTGATTTTATCAAATTAATTATGCTTTATTATTTTTTCCTTAAAATGTCAAGTTTAAAATATATTTTCAAATTACCAACAATCAAAAAGGTCTCACGAAATTCAAAATAAAAAATAAAAAATAAATTTTTCTATTTTTAAATTATGAATGTTTTTCCTTAGGTCTGCCCCCATGAAGCACTTCCATAAGATTACTCGTAGAACTCGCCAGCTAAATAAAATAAAATAACAAAATCAAAATTTTTATCAATTTGATAAAAAATTATTTAAATACATGTTGTTTTGACTAGTTTTCTTTTGTATTACATATATTTAAATGTTTTGAAGTCTTAAGTTTCATACATATATCCTTTATTTAATAACAAAGAGAGACAAAATAGTTTTTTTTTGCATTTTATTTAGGAAAAAAAACTTTTTTTGTGTGAATCATATATATTCAAATACAGTTAAACCCTAAATGAGCCATACATCGAAAGAATTTATCAAATGTCGTCTTAACAATTTTTCAATGGGTTTTATACTATTTTACGTAAATCTCAGTATATTTGCGAAAATAAAAAAATAGCCATGAATACGCGGGAACAGTTTTAAAGAGCTCCATATAATCATTTAATTAAAAAACTAAATATCTGCGACATTCCATTATCAGAAAGTGAAGAATACGACATTTGATGAATTCTTTTGATGTATGGCTTATTTAGGGTTTAACTGTATGATATTTCTATAGAGAGGGAGGGGGGATGTACACTTAGGACATATAACATATTGTGATATTCAAAAAAAATATTGCAAATGCTCATTTGTAAAAGTGTACAATTTTATTTTTATCAACACAAAATATCTATGTTTTAAGAATGAAGACCAATTTTATAAAGTTTTCGCTCACATTAATATATTTGTTACTTCTTTTATTGTATTTGTTTGATATAGGTGGCCAAATTTTTAGATCAAATTAGCTTAAATATTTGTATGGGAACCCATGATTACCAACCATTCGAGGGGTGACATGGCCCCCCAAAAAAAAATCCAAAAACCTTCTTTATACTTCACTGTTTATTAAAATATTTTGTTATTTTTCTTTTTTCAGATTTTTCTTTTCTGTTACTCTTATATTTTATGTATATTTTTTTCCATTCGATTGAGTTTCCTAAATGTATTATTTAAAATATCTCTACAAAATTAAATATAAAATCTTACTTAAAAACTCTATTGAACAATCTATCCAGTTAGGTTTGAACTATTTCCTCAGTTATCACTTACATGATTTTATATTATTAGATAAAAAAAAACAGGTTGGACAATTTTTTTAAAACAATTTTATAGATTTGATTAAAATCACATTGTTACAAAAGTTTTTAATGCATGCTTAGAAGACAAGTCCTTTATTTCCTTCTTCTTGCATAACCCAGTACAGTGTTGAATTAGTATTCTATCCTAGGATATATAATTGTGTATTCAGCTCTGTCTTTAGAAGTTTATTTTTATCAAGTTGAAAATATATTTGGATGTGTGTGTCTGTCAAGATGTTTGTTTGTCTGTTAAAAATTAGTAGCTTCCTGGGTAAATGTTCATCTCTAAAAAAACTATTTTTTAAAGAACAATATTTTCTTGTGTTTTTAATCTGGTGATATTTTGAAAAATACAAAATCAAATAGAAAACAAAATAAACATACAAAATTTTATAGAGGTGGTAAGCTCTAAACGTCATTTTTGCTATTGAGTATTAATCAAGGGTAGGTTTGTATAAACGCCTACTCCATAACAATTTCTCGAACCAATTTTATTTTCATTGGGCCTAACTCCTTAAGTCGAGCCTAAGATCTCGCAGCTGTCAATCACGTGACACAAGCTGTCGTCAGAGTTGGGTCGAAGATTGGGTCTTAAAGCTGCGTTTAAGGAATTAAGACTCGAGCCGAAGCTTTTAAATCGCGGGCTCAGGTAAAGTTCAGTCGCACTTAACCATCGGTGTCAATACGTACACTAGCAATCAATTGGTCAATGCCTCAAACAGGACACTATCCACAAGAATACAATCCCGTGAAGCATCAACGCCACTAGCACTGGGCACGATCTCGTTTGATATGTCAACCGGACAATAGCGATCTATTGATGAATGTCTCAAACAGGACAGGATCCACACAGCTACAATCCCGTGAACTATTAACGCCACTAGCACTGGGCGCGATCTCTTTAGCTATGTCAATCGGACAATAGCAATCTATTGATCAATGTCTCAAACAGGACAGGATCCACATAACTACAATCCCGTGAACTATCAACGCCACTAGCACTGGGCGCGATCTTGTTTGCTATGTCAACCGAGCAATCGCGATCTATTTGTATGTTTCAAAGAAAACCATAATTACTCTCAACACTTCTATATCAACTAAAACTATATTTCTTCAGAATAAATATGAATTGAGTCTTTAACAGCCTAATCACAAGTTATGCGCTGTCAATCTTAATTGTTCATAATATTCCAGAATTATTATTTTTTTTTAAAATGTTTTTTACCATCACAATTTTGGGAAAATGAAATTCATACCTTGACCGTATTATTTTAGTTAAAGATATAATACATGGCTTTTGAACTGTTCAATTCGTTAATTAATATGTCACCCCCTCCCTGCCAAATGAAAAACAGTTATATCCCAGTTTATATAAATATACCGTGTTTATGAGAGTGCTATCACTTAGGTGATTAAATTCAAATTGCCATCGTAAAAAAAAACAATTCAAAATTTTCTAAATTAACATTGTCAAAATACGAAACAAAGAAATGTACTTTTATTTCATTAAAAGCATTGTTTTATATTCTCAGGGTGTCCCAATAAACAGTGAAGCAAAAATACAAATATCAAATCGTCGTTGATTTTAAATAGTGAATGTCCTGGAATGTTCCCTAAACAGTTTATATGTCTCATGTCATGTCATCCCAAAATGTGGTCTATGTTAGAGTGTGTCTTTAAAACAGACGGATCTATAAGGTGTTGGGAAAATTTTAATTTCATTATATTTTCTTCAAGGCACAGCAATGGCAAAACAGTTTTTTAAAATCCCAAATATTCACTTTAAATTGTACTTTTTTTGTACATTCTTAACCTTTAAATGTACTTGCTTTAAGCTTTAGTTTTTGAGAAGCAATTGGCAAAATTCGTCTCAATTTTGCGTAAGAGCTTACAACTTGTAAACACAAAACACGAAAAAACGGCGTGCAGATCTAAGATTATTTGGAATTTATACCATTTATGCCATGTTCATTGTGACACCCTGTACACCATATTTATTGGGACACACTGTATACCATGTTTATGGGGACACCCTGTATACCATTTTTAATGGGACACCCTGTATACTATGTTTATTGGGACACCCTGTATACCATGTTTGTTGGGACACCCTGTATATCATGCTAATTGGGACACCCTTTAAAACATAAATTGTTTTTAAAATTATAATAACACACTTTCTAAGGGAATAGTGTTTCCTACTTTTTTTGCAGGAAGTGGGACTTGTGTCTCCTAAGCTGAGACAAGTCATGTGTCCCACCCTTGTGTCTCCAAAGATAAGACAAGTACCCTGTGTCCCACCAATGTGTCTCCGAAGGTACGACAAGTTCTCTGTGTCCCCTAAGCTAAGACAAGTACCCGGTGTCCCACCCTTGTGTCTCCTCAAATAAGACATGTAACCTGTCTCCCACGTTTGTGTTAAAGTAAGAAAAGTACCCTGTGTCCCACTCTTGTGTCTCCTCAGATAAGACAAGTACCCTGTGTCCCACCTTTGTGCCCCCTAATGTATGACAAGAACCCTGTGTCCCACCCTTGTGTCCCCTAAAGTAAGACAAGTACTCTGTGTCCCACCCTTAACTCAACTAAGGTGTAGCTCCAACAGGTTTCCTTCTCTATATCCTCTGTATCCTCGTATCCTTCTATCATACTCTTCTCTCAATCCTCTCTACGCCAATCCAAGAATATAGAAAATACATGAAAGGAGAAGAAGATAACACTAGAATATAGAAAATACATGAAAGGGGCAAAAGGGCCAGTGCCTTGTAGACTTTTACCATAAATTTTTTTCCCGTATTTTTTTTTTTGATAATATGGCCTCATCCTTTAGTTAGAACCTACTCCAATTTCCATGTTTCAAAATCTTAAGTTTTCTCCTGACCACAAATATTTCGAATAAGAATTTAAAAGTGCTGCTTCAGCTTAGAAAAATTTTAATTTTAATAATTCACCATGTCATTTTATCAAAGTCAGCATTTTAGTTTAGGTTTTTGGTCTTACTTTTTTAGACTTCTCCTTTATTATTGGTGCGGTTGAAACTCCAAGATTTTAAAGAATAATGCTTAAAAAATATTTTTTAAAAATGCCTGACACCATTATCCATTGTACTACGCTTTTATTCACCAAAATCATATTTCATCCATTGTCGTCTTTTCTAATATCCCAGGGAAAGATTTAACACCTTCTTTCACAAAAACAATCTTGGCATATTCTATTTTATTTTCTAGTCTTTTTCTATCGCTCTTTTTTTTGTTGTTGAAAATTATCACAATGATCATATTTTTTAACTATAAACATGGGGGCTTATATTAGACGTCGAATAAACGGTCGGTCCTATAAAAATTATCCAAAGTAAACCATACTGTTTATAAAAATTGAGAAAGGGTTTAAAATTTACGTATTTGGAAGAGAAAACTAGTGTCACTTGCTATGCTAGTCTTTTCTTACATATGTTTTTATTATCAGGGTTAAAAGTTTACATTGTGGTAAGAAAAGAAAATGTTAAGAAACTTCAGAACAATTTCAGTTTTACATTTTGTAAAAATTTTAAAAATTTTGTGGAATCTTTTTTATAAAAGTATACTTTTAAAATTAAGAACACTCATTCAACATTTGGCATCTTTCTCTACTTTTTGTGTTCTAAGAATTAAAATTGAATTAAATATTAGCAAAGTTGACAAATAAAAGAGACAAATGTTGCTTCAGAAAACTTCGATAGATTCTCGGAAAACTTCGATAGACTCTCGGAAAACTTCGATAGAATCTCAGAAACCTTCGATAGAATCTCAGAAAATTATTTTGCGACTAATCAAAAAACACACTTTTTGAATTGTGGTTCTTAAAAAAAGTTCACCTGTCCTTGTTCTCCTATATTTCCATTTTTCTCCTCTCCCCCCTCCTCCCCCTCCTTTTCCTCCTCATCCTCCTCTATATTCTTTTCCTTCTCTTCAACAAGTTCTTCTATTAAGCATTTCTCCATCTTTCCGTTGATTTTATTCTTGAAAATTTTCACATCTTCTGAAAATTCTTTAAACTGGACACATTTATGTTGTTGTGAAAACCGAGGAAGTTGAATACTTGCCTAAAGTTCTAATTTTATATAGCTTTGCAACCTGATCGTGGAACCTTTAATTTTCAAACATTGAATATTTTATCGATTAGAATCAGGGGGGCTGGATCATAGCTACCTTTCCGTGTGTATTGGCCTGAGTGTACACTTGGGATAGTTTATTGATAAAGGATGTTAAGAGATTATGGCCTATTCATACAGTACAAATATCAAATATGCAGTACGCTTTCGGAATACAAGTGTATGGGGAGGTTTTGTACCTTGAATTTTACTCAGTTTTCTCAGAACAGTTTATTAACGATGAAATACTGCTCTGTAAAAGACTGTAAATGTAGGTCTTTCTGTGAAAAAGGAATCTAGCACACGATAATAAAGTAGTGGATTTTAATAATTACATAGAAAACAAATTCTCCATTTAGATATTTTCAGAAATCACCCCCGAGGACTGTAATATACGGATTGATCTTTGGAAGTGAAGTACATGGCCTGTACAATCAGTAAAGGATTAGCGTACATCATCACTCTATATACTATAACCTCGTTGATTAGAATACATAGTTTGATATTTCAAAGGTCCACAACATCAGGTTGCAAAGATATTATTATCAGAATATTAAGAGTTTGAGAAATAAGTAATCAGTTGGTTTAGTCCTTTTTAGTCCTTTTGGAACAGTTCCTTTTAGTCTTGTGAATGTTAAAGAAAAAGAGAAAAGTTGAAGTATTTGAGTCAACACAAACTTTGTTTTAAAATAGATTTATGCAAATTCTAAAGGGACTGTAAGCATAATTTCAAGTGACCTTCCATGCATAGAAGACAAGACCTGATAATGATTGATAGCGGTATATGTAAAAGAGCAAAAAAATATTTTATGTCTTATAGCTCTCCCAGATTGGATGGATTGAATGAATCTAAATATCTTTAAGTTAACGACAAAAATGTACTGAATGTATGAGTTTAAAAGAAACCCCTAGTAAGTGTTCTAGAAGAACACTAAACACGGCATAATTCATGAAAGGAGTTCTATACAAGTGTCTCTATACATTAATATACATTACATTACTTCTATAAATTTCTCTTCTTTTTATTCATAAAAGAAATCTATCTCTCTTTTCCACATATTAGCCTCTTTTTACAAGATTTAACGTATACTGCAGTGTTTACAGGTTTTCATAATAAACGGTACTAGGACAAACGTATGTCAGCAGGACAGCAGGACAAAAGTGGGACAGGACAAACGTAGGACAGATAAACGTCTGTCATACATTTGTCCTGTAAAATGGTTGTATGTTCTACATTTGTCCTGTACAATGGTTGTCTGTCCTGCATTTGTCCTGTACAATGGTTGTCTACCCTACATTTGTCCTGTAGAATGGTTTTATGTCCTGCATTTGTCCTGTACAATGGTTGTATGTCCTGCATTTGTCCTTTACAATGGTTGTATGTCCTGTATTTGTCCTGTACAATGGTTGTATGTCCAGCATATTTGTCCTGTACAATGGTTGTATGTCAAGCAATTGTCCTTTACAACGGTTGTATGTCCTACATTTGTGCTGTACAATGGTTGTGTGTCCTGCATTTGTCCTGTACAATGGTTGTATGTCCTGCATTTGTCCTGTACAATGGTTGAATGTCCAGCATTTGTCCTGTGCAATGGTTGTATGTCCAGCAATTGTCCTTTACAATGGTTGTATGTCCAGCATTTGTCCTGTACAAGGTTGTATGTCCTGCATTTGTCCTGTACAATGGCTGTATGTCATGGATTTGTCCTGGACAATGGTTGTATGTCCTGCATTTGTCCTGTACAATGGTTGTATGTCCAGCAATTGTCCTTTACAATGGTTGTCTGCCCTACATTTGTCTTTGATAAGTATTAACATTGAAAAACCTAAACTCAAAAACCATTACAAACTTTCACCCGTTATATTTCATACCTTATGTAATGGTTAGGGGTTAAGTAACCCTTCATTTAAAAGAGGGCATGTCTAATCAACAATGGTACCCTTGATACTTTATCTGATCAATGATAGTTTTTTTTTGTTAGCTTAAAAAGTGTTTAATTAGATGGTCATTTATTTTTAGCAAGTAATTTGTTTAAGTCCCTTTTGTAGAGAACAATCAGTTTTCAAAACAAAACATGGATAAATAATTTATTCTTTATCAGACAAAGCTTTTGAGGGAACCATTGTGAATCGGCCATGTATTAATGTATTAATGTATTAATGTATTAATGTATTAATGTATTAATGTATTAATGTATTAATGTATTAATGTATTAATGTATTAATGTATTAATGTATTAA